TCTCCTCCCAGCCTTGTAATAAGGGAGCAGTCAGGCTGGTCTGCGCTCGGCTCCTCGGGTTCCGACCCCGAACTAGGGTTCTGCGGGACCCATCTCCTGAGACAGGAGCAGCGGGACGCGGTGGAGGGCGGATTTAGTACCAACGCGACCTCTTGGGAGCCTGTGAGAATCGCCGTGTTGTTTTTTGTTTGCTTATTTGGACTAACAGGGCTAGAAAAGAGAAAGCGGCAGAGGTATACAAATACACTTATTTTAGTCATCGTAGAAATGTATTGACCATTTACTGTGTTGGGAACAGGGCTAGGGGTGAGGTCAGCAAAACTAGGCACGGTTTCTGCCCTCCAGGAGCTTAAAGTTTTGTGAGAGAGACAGACACAAAAAAGCGTGAAATTTCGACAATGATACGTGCCAGGAAGATGGGTCAATAGTCCTAGGGAAGCCTTCGATTTAGATCAGTCAGTAGATTTCCCAGAGGAAGGGACAGTGGAGGAGGGAACAGGTGTGTAACTAGGGAAGAGGGAAAAGCATTCATTCGGAGGGGGTTGTGTTGGTGGAGGGGGTGGAGGTGACTAGCTTGGCCAGCAAACTGGGAGCCTGGAGAAAGAAAGATCAGTGGGGTTGCTGGGAGTTGGGGTGGGCAGTATGGTTTAGTGGTTCTCAACCTTGGCTGCACATTAGAACCACCTGGGAATCTTTTTAAAATCCTGATTTCTGGGCCTCATCCTCCGGAAATTCTGTTTCTTTGTTACTAATGTTGTGGCCCCACCCCATAACAAAGTAAATTAACTTTGCTTTCTAGCTGCTTGCATAATAGAGGAGATAAACTTGACTGTCTGACTTTATAGGCTAGTCATCTAACGTAGGTCCGGGAAAACCCTTATTTGGGAGACAAAGGGGGGCGGGGGAGATATCAATAGGGAAAGCTTCCTCCATGTTTTGTTCAGAAATTTGGGAGACATCTCCCTCTGGGCCCGCTGGCGTAATAAACAGTGTATCTCCATTTCTCTGGGCGTTGCTTGGTTTTTCTCCGGTCTTCCGTAAGTAAGCATCATTTTTTCCCTAACAATCAGACCAAGATAAAGTGGCATATAAGACCTTGTTGAGTGCATGGTTAGAAGAGGTGTTTCCAACATGCTTTAAAATGAGAGCTACTGGGGACTAAAGGTACCCTGCTTCCCTCCACTACTTTCTGGGTGGAATACTTTCAAAATAAAAAATTTAAAACAGGTCTCTTCTTGAGGCTCAATGCCCCAAATAAACCTAAAGGTGTCCCGTGGAGGAGAATTTTTTTTCTATTCAAGTTAGCACAAAAAGTTCTGTCATCTTCTGCACCATGAAAAAAGAGTTTCCATTTAAGGGTGGTGGTAGCAAAACCACTAGGCACACTTGAACATACGTTGTGGAAATGGTACTGTTTAGACAATTTGTGAACCACTAGCTTTGTTTTCTAAACTGAAGCCGACATATGCTCACCAACCATCTTGAAAGGGGTAGGTAGAATTCCTAGAGAAGTAAAGGATTCCATCCTATATACTCAACCACTAATACCTTTTGTTTTGTGTTGGGGGCCAGATGTAAGCTGGCAGGGTCCTTGCACCTGAAGGGGCTAGCAAGGCTGGGACCCTTACCCACACAATTTTCCCAGACTTGTTTGGATGGCGATTATCAGTAGAATAAGAGCAACCTTTGTAGAAAGAGAACAGCCTTTCATAGCTTACCAAGCAGTCTGTAACTATTTACTGAGATATGCTGTACTGAGAACTTGTCCTGTTCTGTCCCTCCCTTAGAGATTAAGAGGAACAAAGAATACATTCCTCTTGACAGACCTCCTATTCAGTGTGTTGTGTATAAATAGGATTGTGTGGCTAACAAAGTTGCTTTAGTTTCTCAAGAACTGGAGTCCTCCCGATCCCGCTTTCCTGTTTTTCTTTCTTTTCTCATTTCCCACCTCCCTACCTCAGCCCGGCTCAACCTGTCAGGCTGGCCCTGACAGTTTTGTTCCACAGTATTCCGTCCTTGAAAGCAGGGAAGGTTGAGAGAACATGGCAGAGAGACAGCTGATCAGTGGTGGGGTATTGAGAACTCATAGGTTCTCATCTCATAGGCTCACGGCTTGGCTCATGGAGAAAGGTCACATTTTAGGAAGCCTTTTGGAGCCTCCAAAAGCCCTGGTGCCCAAGTTAAATACTAGTTTCCTAGTTTCCTCTTGTGAATATAATGGGTTGGGCATTACAGACATTTGTCCTTGATGACCTTTATGAGCAACTGGGATTGTTCTTTAGGTTAGAGCAGAGGTTCTCAACCTGTGGGTCACGACCCCTTTGGGGGTCGAATGACCCTTTCACAGGGGTCGCCTAAGACCATCGGAAAACACATATATAATTACATATTGTTTTTGTGATTAATCACTATGCTTTATGTTCAAGTTGTAACAATGAAAATACATCCTGCATATCAGATATTTACATTACGATTCATAACAGTAGCAAAATTACAGTTATGAAGTAGCAACAAAAATAATTTTATGGTTGGGGGTCACCACAACATGAGGAACTGTATTAAAGGGTCGCGGCATTAGGAAGGTTGAGAACCACTGGGTTAGAGGGACCTTTTGCTTCCATAGTCACTGAATCCTAAGAGTTTGTGTTCCTTTGACTTTTGCATGAGACCCACAGAGACCCTAAGGACTATTTTTGGTCTACAGACGTTGTCTAGAGTTACTTGAGACCGTAAAAACAGTATGTTCAAATGTTATATTTCAAACACCACCTATAACAGAATTCTTTGGGATGTTTCCTAAACATGCAAACTTCCGGGTCGACTCCAGACATTCTGAATCAGAACTTTTGTGGGCAGAGCCTAGAATCTGAAATTTTAACAAGCACCCCAAAGATTTCGTATGCAAACTAAAGCTTGAAAATAATTGTCTGAAAGGGCAAAATGTCAGGAGTTTTCTTCATCAGTTTGCCAAGTGAATCTTTTTTTTTTTTTCCAAGTGAATCTTAAACAGTAATGTTATATCCTTTAAATGTTCTCTACATATTATATAATAATCTTTCATAGTTGCAAAACTTTTCTTTCAGGTGGTTTGCTGTCCTCCAAAGTTAATTCACAAAGATGGGGATGAGGGTGAGAGAGAGAGCTATTGTTTATTGAGCAGCTGCTATATGCCTGTTGTTTTAAATCTGATTTAATTCTCCCTACAATTTTGTTAATTTGGACTTACTAACTCTTTTTAAAGTTAAATATATTTGTATTGATTTTTAGAGAGAGAGGAAGGGAGAGGGAGAGAGAGAGAAATATTGATGACAGAGAAATATTGATTGGCTGACTTCTGCATAGCCCCCACCAAGGGATTGAGCTTGCAACCTGGGCATGTGCCCTGACCAGGGATTGAACCAGCAGCCTCTTGGTACATGGGTCAATTATCAGCCACTAAGCCATACCAGCTGGATGGAATTACTAACTCTTACAGATCAAGTCAGAGAAACCCCAGAGAAGAGTTTAGTTGTAGTATTTTTTTTTTCAGTTTAAAAAAACCCTCTTTATTATGGAAAAATTTTAAATATATAAAAGGTAGTCTAAATAGTATAATGAATTTCCATGTTCCATTAGCTACCCTTAATAGTTAACACATTGTTAATGTTGTTTTATCTATATTCCTCATCAACTTCTCCTCATCTACTATATTATTTCGCCCATATTATTTTGAAATAAATTTCAGATATAATTTTTAATAATTCAGTATTTCTAAAAGGATTCTTAAAAATAACAGTCAAATGCTGAAACCGGTTTGGCTCAGTGGATAGAGCGTCGGCCTGCGGACTGAAGGGTCCCGGGTTCGATTCCGGTCAGGGGCATGTACCTGGGTTGCGGGCATATCCCCAGTGGGGGATGTGCAGGAGGCAGCTGATCGATGTTTCTCTCTCATCGATGTTTCTAACTCTCTATCTCTCTCCCTTCCTCTCTGTAAAAAATCAATAAAATATATAAAAAAAAAAAAAATAACAGTCAAAGTACATATAGCCCACTTGAAAAATGATTCCTTAATATAATTGTACTAGATTCTTTAATGTAATTGTATTCTTTAATATAACATTCGTGCACTTGAGGGGGGGGTCCCTCCCACCGCAGCTGTGCTCGCCAGCTGTGAGCCTGGCTTTTGGCTGAGCTGTGTTCCCCCTGTGGGAGCGCACTGACCACCAGGGGGCAGCTCCTGCATTGAGTGTCTGCCCCCTGGTGGTCAGTGCACAGCTTAGCAACCAGTTGCTCCACCATTCGGTCGATTTGCATATTAGCCTTTTATTATATAGGATTGCCTAGTTTTGTGTCCCTATGCTACTTTAATATAAGATCCATGAGTACAGGGACCTTGGCTGTATCCTCCATGCCTAAAACAGTAGCTGACATATTTTAGGCATTCAATCTATATATGTTGAATGAATGATAGAAACCTAGGCCTGTCAGACCTCAAAGATGTTGCCTCTGTACTCTTAGAACTGTTTTCTCTGTTCGGTTCTTTATTTAGGTAATAGTTTCTCTTCCTGATAGTTTGTGAATTCTTACTGCCACCACGCACAACGGAATATATAAAGGCTCTGAACCCCTGAAAGCAGACTATATTTCCATGCTACCTTTTGCTTAAATTCTCTCTGTAGCAAACAGTAATAGAATACGAATCATGAGCCAGGAGCTATGCTAGATGCTGAAGACATAAAGTTGAACAAGGCACAATAACTTCCCTGGGGACGGTTATTGAGATTTTGGAAATACATAACTCGACTGCACACATCGATTTTTGCGTTGCAGAAGGTTTCACTCGGACCATCGCACCTACGAGATCTCCTTGGCCCCGCCCACGGAGTTGCATCATCCGTTTGGCCCCGCCCCCAACGATGGGGCCCTGCCCCTGTCGCACTAAGGGGCGGGGCCAGCAGCGCTCACCCAGGCTCCCACGCGCGCGCAGTAGCGGCAGTGACGTGACGCAGGCGCGGAAACTTCCTGGCGGCTGAGGCTCTGTGGACAGACACCTTCCCTTCTCCGCGGCTGGAGTTCCCGGCGTCACTGAGCATCTGCGCGCGGATTTCCACAGCCCCGGTTCGGGTCCGCGAGTGCCTGGTAGCCGCGCACCACCTTCGCCCAGCGCCATGGCCGCGGCCGGTGGGCCCGGAGCGGACAGACGCTGCCCTCTTCTCGGCCTCCTTTTGCTTCTGATCGCAGGCCCTGCCCTGGGCTGGAACGACCCTAGTGAGTACTGTCTTCATCGCCCCTTGCTGCCTGCCGCCTTGAGCCTGCTCTGGGAGGCCCCGCGGGCGACCATTTTCGTTCCCTTGAGCTTTTCTGCCCTCATTTTCATCCCCTTCACTATTCATCGGTGCCTTTTCTCTTCCCAGACCTCCGCCGGGAGAGCAGGGACCGTTGGGGAGTTGGTGGGACGGAACGACTCTGTATTCTTAACGTCCCCTTCCTTCCTTCCCTGGACTTCTAGAAATTGTCCAGCGTCACTTCTCGGCAACGGCCCACATCCGGGTGTCTGGCGGGGAAAGCTCGAGGCTCACCTGCGCTTCTGGCTTTGTTGCCATGACTACCTGATGTCGCTGACTGTTGTCATGGCTGCCTGTTGCTAGGGCTGGCAGTTTCCTTGACACCGTCAGCGTCGGAGTCACACTTAAGGGACAGGGCAGCAAGCCTGTAGGTAGGTTAGCAGGTCATATATTTGAGCTTAACTCATGCTTCTTATTGTGACCATTACAGTGAAGCACATTGCGTGACGCTAGCTCTTCTGTTTTTCACCATATTCTGGAATTGAAGAAGTATTTTCATCTTATAATTTGTGTGTGTGTGATGGAACATGATGTGATTTTTAGGGAAAGGTTCTTTTATATTACTATGTTATTAGACTTCTCTAACGAATTTTTGTGGGATCAGTAATATTACTTGTCATTAATATATGTACGTGTGTATATATATGTCACATACATACAGATTTCCACTTAATAAATGATGTGTGCTGTTAAATTGGAATTAAAGAATGACGTTTAAACGTTTAAAATTCCATTTTTGCTCTACGGAGTAAAGATGTTAAGGCTTGGTGGGAAGTGTACCAATACTGCATTTGTGATTTGGTGATAGGAAATGCCTATGTTTTTTAACTTAAGCAGCAGATTTTCTACGCCCCTCCTACTTTCAATCTTTTTGCTAGGAAATTTCTAGGAAATTTTCTTATCTTTAACTTGTAATAGTTCTATTGAGTTTTTCATCTCAGCTGCCCTGATTTGAATTTCCAAGAGCTCTTGTTTTGTTCTCTGAGTGTTCTTTTATAGTAACTTTGAGGATATCATAGCTTTAAAAAATTTTTAAAAAGTTTTCTTCTCTCAGTATAGTCTCCCTTTCCTCCAAAGTGTTTTTGTGGTGGTTGTATTCCACGTTAGGGGCTTTCCTCATAATTTTTAGTAATTCTTGGCTGTCTGCTCAAAATCAAGGGTGCGAACCAAAGAGCTGATTGGAAGCTATTAGTGTATGATTACTGCTTTTGAACTTTGAACTTTACTGTGGCGTGACCTGATGACCATAGGGATGCTTGGGTAGTTCTTCGTTTGGGAACTCCTGATATTAGTATATTTAAATATTTCTTTTTTGGTTAGGTTACAAAGGGAATAGACTTTCAGTCACTCACTCAGAGGGCCAGGGAATGGTTGCTAGTGTTTTGTGGACCAGGTGGGGAAAGAGGTTCATGCTTTCAGCTTTCAGAGTCATGCAGTTACTGGCATCCCTTTTACGTTTTTGTACCTATGCCCTCTATTGTGCCAGATATCCCCTAGTACAGAGCCCTAGGGTTTTACCCTCTCCAGACATTTTCCTGGGTGGAGAAGGGGCAGTGGCAGCAGCACAGAGTTGGGGAGAGGTTCTGGGATGTAGCTTCTTTTCAGGAAGCTTTGACCTGCCAATTCCTGTTTTATTATTATTATTATTTTTATTTTTAAGGCTTCTATTATTTATGTCAGATTGGTTCTCAGTTTTCTGCCTTCCTGGTCTGGCATTTGGTTTTTATGTCTGTCTACTCACCTACCATTATACCTCCTGTAGGCTTGCACCTTTCCAAATTCCTTTGCCATCTCCTTTTCTGTTTTACATGCCGTCGTTCGTTCACATCATCAAAACAATCAATTTATTATAGTTTTAGTGGAATTTGGGTGGTAGAAAATTCTGATAATTTGACATATTGAATATAGGAAATTAGGTGCTAACAAAATGGTAGAGAGTGATGCCTGCCACATACAGCAATGAAAAGGGGGTTGCTCACATGAAACCAGCCTCTTGACATCCACAGAGTTAATTATGGGGTACTGGAGTGCTGTCAGGAAACCCAGAGCCCCCACGACTGCTTGCTCGCTGAAGGACCCACACAGCACAGTCTGCTTGCCACACCTGCCTGGAGTTTCTGTTTTGGGAACTACAGCTGCAAGAGTTTTTGGAATCCTCTTAGCTTTGCAAGGAGGCTGTCAGTTTGAGGGTAAAATGGATTTTGAATGAACCAGTCCACAGTCATCTTCCATCATAATCCAAGGGTGATAAGTAGGAAGACTATTTTCCAATAACACTTTAAAATTCATTTATGTACATGAATGCCAGACATAATTACCTCGTCTTGATTTTTTATTCTTAACCCTTTGAGTGCCAACCAATATCCTAGGAACTATGCTAAAATTGCCAAGGCATTTTTGCTGATTTTACAGCAGTTTAGGAAAAAAATTATGAATCGCAAGTAAATGAAGTCACATATTCAAAAACTTAAGGAAACCTTTACTACATTTGTTTTCATTTTTGACATATATTGTTTGCTGATTGTATTATAAAATACTAGTAGAAAAAAAAATTGCGATAGCGCTCCTGGCACTTTTGGCGAAAGACAGGAGGAGTGCGCGATCACGCTCCCTGGCACTCTAGGGGTTAAACTTCTTTGTCAATGTGATTTTTAATTCGTAAAACAGTTTAAATGTTTTGACTTTTAAAGTTGTGAAATATTTTAAATATTTAAACATGTACACAATGAACACCCATATATACCCACCACCCATTGTTATTGAATCTTCACATTTTATCATTTTGGCAGCAAATCTCCCACCCCCAAAGTAATAAAACATTAGGGATAGAGAGCTAGTTAAAGCCTCTTCTCTCCGTCTCTCCTCAGAGATACTCATCTGAATTTGGAGTTTAATCTTTTTTTTTTAAATTAAATATTTATTGTTCAGATTATTACATTTGTTCCTCTTTTTTCCCCCCGATAACTCCCCTCCTCCCAGTTCCCACCCCACCCTCCGCCCTCACTCCCCACCCACTGTCCTCATCCATAGGTGCACGATTTTTGTCCAGTCTCTTCCCGCATCCCCCACACCCCTTCCCCCCCCCCAAGAATAGTCAGTCCATTCCCTTTCTATGTCCCTGATTCTATTATAATCACCAGTTCATTCTGTACATCAGATTATTTATTCACTTGAGTCTTAGATTCACTTGTTGATAGATGCATATTTGTTGTTCATAATTTGTATCTTTACCTTTTTCTTCTTCCTCTTCTTAAAGGATACCTTTCAGCATTTCATATAATACTGGTTTGGTGGTGATGAACTCCTTTAGCTTTTCCTTATCTGTGAAGCTCTTTATCTGACCTTCAATTCTGAATGATAGCTTTGCTGGATAAAGTAATCTTGGTTGTAGGTTCTTGGTATTCATCACTTTGAATATTTCTTGCCATTCCCTTCTGGCCTGCAAAGTTTCTGTTGAGAAATCAGCTGCCAGTTGTATGGGTATTCCCTTGTAGGTAACTGAGTTTCTTTCTCTTGCTGCTTTTAAGATTCTCTCTCTGTCTTTTGCTCTTGGCATTTTAATTATGATGTGTCTTGGTGTGGTCCTCTTTGGATTCCTTTTGTTTGGGGTTCTCTGCGCTTCCTGGACCTGTAAGTCTATTTCTTTGATCAGGTAGGGGAAGTTTTCTGTCATTATTTCTTCAAATAGGTTTTCAATATCTTGGTCTCTCTCATCTTCTGGCACCCCTATAATTCTGATGTTGGTATGCTTGAAGCTGTCCCAGAGGCTCCTTACACTCTCTTCGTATTTTCGGATTCTTTTTTCATTTTGCTTTCCCGGTTGGGTGTTTTTTGCTTCTTCACATTTCAAATCTTTGACTTGATTCTTGGGCTCCTCTGGTCTGCTGTTGGGTGTCTGTATAATATTCTTTATTTCAGTCAGTGTATGCTTAATTTCTAGTTGGTTCTTTTTATTTTTTTATTTATTTATTTGCATTTTTATTGACTTCAGCGAGGAAGGGAGAGGGAGAAACATCAATGATGAGAGAGAATCATTGATTGGCTGCCTCCTGCATGCCCCCTACTGGGGATCAAGCCCACAATCTGGGCATGTGCCCTTGACCAGAATCAAACTGGGAACCCTTCAGTCCACAGGCCATCGCTCTATCCACTGAGCCAAACCAGCTAGGGCGGGCTCTTTTCTTAAAAAAAAAAAAAAAAAAAAGAGTATTGATTTCAGAAAGGGAGAGAGGGAGATAGAAACATAAATGATGAGAGAGAATCACTGATCGGCTGCCTCCTGCACGACCCCTGCTGGGGGTTGAGCCTGCAACCTGGGCATGTACCCTGACCAGGAATCGAACTGTGACCTCCTGGTTCATAGGTTGACATTCAACTCTCTAGTTGGTTCTTTATCACAACATCAAGGGTCTCATTAGATTTCTTGTAGATCTCATTAAGTTTATCGGCAGTTTCTAGAGAATTATTGAAAGACCTTAAAAGTGTGGTTTGAGCTCTCTATCCTCCAATTCTGACATTTCTGTCCTGTTTCTTTGTCTCCGCATTTTTTATGCTTTCTTGGTGCACCCCCTAGTGGTCTTTGTGTGCAGTCTTGTTGTAGTTAAGCCTTGATTGTTGTAGGTAATACTGGGGGGTATTTGACCTCCAGGCCAACTGGCTGTGAGAATCAGCTGTGTCTGCAGTGGGATAACTTCTGTCCTCTACGTAGGTGCTAATCTAGCCTTTGCCTGAGGCTATCTGGCAAATGCCTCTGTGCAGGGCTTGGGCAGGTCGTGTCCCAGGGGATCTACAGGGCAGGCGGAGCGAGCAGTTATGGCTGCTCTCAGTCCTGTCCCCAAGGGCTCTGCCTCTCAGAGTTCCAGCAACCGCTGCAAACCTCGGAGAGAAAGCTGCCTTCGAGTTCTGACCGAAGCCAGACAGTCCCACTTCTCCTGTTTGAGTCTGGGTCCCTAGAGACTCTCCCGGATCTGGAGCTCAGAGTCTGAGACTCCCTCCCGATTGAAACAGACAACCGCGCCCTCAGCCGCCAGCCCGCTCCGCATGCACTCCGCACCTTAGTATTTTACTTCAGCACTGCGCCTCCTCTGAGTCTCGGTATGCTTTTCTCTTTCCTCCTAGTTGTAGAACTTCCACTCAGCCAGCCTTCCTGTGGTTCTGGATGATGTCCGTTCTGTCTTTTAGTTGTATTTTTGAAGTGGTTGTTTGAGGCAGCAAACTCCGGCATTAACCTATGCCGCCATCTTGGTTTCTCCTCTGGAGTTTAATTATTCTTGTTTGTGTTCCCATACTGTCATAATATATACATTATATACATTATTATGTAAACATTAATAGTATGTAGTACTGTTTTGCTTGTTTTCAAGTTTTATGTAATTCTGTCATACTAAACATTCTGCAAATTGCATTTTGCATAAATGTTGTTACTATTTCTAGTCTGATTCATGAGTTCCAGTTCACTCATTTTAACTAGAATATTTCCATGGTATGAATAAGGCAAAATTTTATTAAGTCATTCACCCGTTAGCATTTAAGTCTTTAATTGTGCTTCAGGAACATTGATGTATATTTTTTGCTATTTTAATTATTCGTTGATGTTGTTGTACCATAGTATATTTCAGCATATAAGCAGTTTAGGGGTTATCCACCCTGAATTGATGAAGGGGAGCCTTAAAGGTGTGACCACCTGAACGCTGTTGGTATGGCTTTGGGAGAGTGTTTCCTCTTCTCTTTCTTAGTCATCCTCAAACGGCGAGAAAGACCCTTACTTTTCAGAGTATTTAATGTGACAAGAGTTTTATTTGATTAACTGTCTAAGTTTGGCAAGGTATTTACTATATGGTTATCTGTGTTCTTACGATTTCAGACAGAATATTGTTGCGGGATATACAAGCTCTTACCCTCCACTATGATCGCTATACCACCTCCCGTAGGCTGAATCCGATTCCACAGCTGAGATGTGTTGGAGGCACAGCTGGATGTGATACTTATACTCCAAAAGTTATACAGTGCCAGAACAAAGGCTGGGATGGTTACGATGTACAGGTAATATTCATTACATTGATGTCCATCTAAATGGGATTTTTATTTAATAAAGTGTTTATCGGGACATTATTCAGTATTTTGGAGAAGCATATATAGAAAATCTCAGTTTAACCTAAAATATATAGACATAAATCAGTCATTTATTCTCTGGAAGAAACATGCTCCAAAAGAAATGAACTGATTTTAAAGCCTGGAAATATTCAAGACGTTAGTAATTTTCAAAGCTTTTCACATACTTGGGGGGAGTAGAGTATTTCTCCTGGGTGTCATTTTTATGTCATTTCCTCAGGAATACCAACCTGCCCTTAAGAAGTAAAGTTAAGATGATAAGGAATTGTAGGTTGTAAATGGGTATACAAAAGGGGTATATGTGTCCCTTTTGTGCTTCATACACTTGATTCTAAAGTTGTTTTAGAACTGAGGGTGGCTGCTCCTGCACAAAAGCATTTCCATGGGCTTCATTTGTTGTCTTTGGGATTGGCATTTTGTACTTAGGTTGGACCATCTTTTTGAAGTTCCAAAATTTATTCTTTAGAAATTTATTGAATGAATTCAGTTTAAATCAATACTAATATATTTCTACTTTGTATTCTGCCTGCTTTCAAAAGAATTTAAGATAGTTGGTTATTTGCAAGAAACTTGTGTTGACAATTGCCACTTCCATCAGCATGATAATTATGCATGGTCTGTGAACCAGAGGGTCGCAGTTCAATTCCCAGTCAGGGCATGTTGCCTTGGTTGCGGGCTTGATCCCCAATGTGGGGCATGAGGGAGGTGGCTGATCAGTGATTCTCTCATCATTGATGTTTCTGTCTCTTTCTCCCTCTCCTTTCCTTTCTGAAATCAATGAAAATATATTGGAGAGGAAAAAACCCACAAGAACAAAAACCCCAAAAAAACCCAGTGGTCTGTGCAGTTCAGAGGGAGTTCATATTTACTAGGTAATACTTATTTCACAACATTTTTTCCTGTTATTGCTAACTTAATCACAGAATTGTCAGGTTAAAGCAGAGTCCCACTTTCATTTTGCATTTACAGTCTATTAGAAAAAAAGATACTAATGGAGAAGTCATTCATTAAACATATGAAATTGATTAGAAAAAATTATGTTTAATGAATGACTTCTCCATCTTATAAATAAGATGGTGTCATAAGCCTCAAGAGACTCTCTTCCTAGTAGAAGAGATAAGACACGCATTCAAATTACATGTTGATGCCAACCAAGTGTTATAAAGTCATGTCATTTATAACATTGAAGGGATTGGGGAAGACTTAAAGAAGGTATGTGCTGCATTAGGAAGGAAGGGTAAGATTTTTTAGAGCTAAAGAGATAGAGAAGGGAATAGCATGAGCAAAGAAGTGCAGTGTAGGGGATATCTTACATTAACATAAATATAGCAGCAGGAGAGAGCCTTTTTCAGTTCCAAAAAAGTAAATATAATTAGAGCTATTTTTAATATACACTATTAAGAAAGTGACAATTAACATGAAATACCAATAAAGATTTTGCTTGTTTTATTTACCTAAATTAGCAAGCTTATAAATCTTCCTTCAAATAAAATTATTTAAAAAATAATGAAGCAACAATAAAGACAACAAAATAGAAAAATTGTATTATTCAAATTAAAAACTTTTGGTCTTCAAAGGAGACCATTAAGAAAGTGAAAAGACAACCTACACAATGGGAGAAAGCTTTTGCAAATATATCTCATAGGGGACTTATATCTAGAATATAGAAAGAATTATTACAACTCAATAAGAAGACAACCAAATTTAAAAGTGGGCAAAACATCTGACTAGACCAGGGGTGGGCAAACTTTTTGACTCGAGGGCCACAATGGGTTCTTAAACTGGACCGGAGGGCCGGAACAAAAGCATGGATGGAGTGTTCGTGTGAACTAATTTAAATTCAAAGTAAACGTCATTACATAAAAGGGTACGGTCTTTTTTTTTTTTTTAGTTTTATTCATTTCAAACGGGCCGGATCCGGCCCGCGGGCCGTAGTTTGCCCACGGCTGGACTAAAGTTTTAAAAAAAACTTTTATCTTTATTCTTGAAAGTCCCTTTTTTCCCCCCATTGACCGACCCTTTCTAGCCCACCCTCTGCCCCAGGCCTTCACCACAATACTGTCTTTGTCCATGGATTATGCATGTCCTATATAATAATCCTATATAATAAAAGGTAATATGCAAATTGACTCAGTATGACTGGTCACTATGATGCGCACTGACCACCAGGGGGCAGATGCTTAATGCAGGAGCTGCCACTCAGCCAGAAGCCGGCTCATGGCAGGCCAGTGCAGCAGCGGTGGCGAGAGCCTCTCCCACCTCCGTGGTGCTAAGGATGTCCAGCTAATGGCTTAGGTGCGCAGGGGGCGGTTCTGAGCTGTTAGTTGGACATCCCCCGAGGACTCCTGGGCTGCCAGAGGGAAGTCTGACTGTCAGCTTAGGCTTGATTTCCTGGGGAGCAGGCCTAAGCCAGCAGGTGGACTTCCCCCAAGGGGTCCCAGACTGCGAGAGGGCACAGGCCCGGCTGAGGGACCCCTGGCCTCCCAAGTGCACAAATTTTTGTGCACCGGGCCTCTAGTATGCATGTAAGTTCTTAATCTCTTCCCACCCACCTACCAACCCACCCCTGCCTTCCTTCTGTGATTCCACAGTCTGTTCCATGCTTCTATGTCTCTGAATCTATTTTGTTCGTCAGTTTATTTTGTTTAGACTCCACATATGAGTGAGACCATGTGACACTAGTCTTTCTCTGACTGACTTATTTCGCTTAGCATAATACTCTCCAGGTCCTACTGTGATATCGCAAAGAGTAAGAGATCCTTCTTTTTTACAGCTGCATAGTATTCCATGGTATAAATGTACCACATCTTTTTTATCTACTCATCTACTGAAGGGCACTTGGGCTGTTTTCAGATCTTAGCTACTGTAAATAGGGCTGCTATGAACATAGGCGTGTCTATATTCTTTCTGATTGGTATTTTGGGTTTTTTAGCATATATTCCTAGCAATGAGATCACTGGAAAAAAGATATTTTTTCAAAGAAGATATGCAAATGAGCAACAAGCTCATGAAAAAATGTTCAGCAGCATTAGCTATCAGGGAAAAACAAGTCAAAACCACAATAAGCCCTGATTGGTTTGGCTCAGTGGATAGAGTGTCAGCCTGTGGACTGAAGGGTCCCAGGTTTGATTCTGGTCAAGGGCATGTACCTTGGTTGCAGGTACATCCCTGGTGGGAGGTGTGCAGGTGGCAACTGATCAGTGTTTCTCTCTCATTGATGTTTCTAACTCCCTATCTCCCTTTCTCTCTGTAAAAAATCAATAAAATATATTTAAAAAAAACACACAATAGTTAATTCCCAATAGATAGGCTATCATATAAAAAATAGATAATAATAAATGTCGGTGAAGATGTGGAGAAACTCTCATACATTTCTGTTAGGAATGTAAAATCGTGCGGCCTATTTGGAGAATTGTGTGGCAGTTCCTCAAAAGGCTAAACGTATAGTTACCATATGCCCCAATCATTCCACTCTTAAGAATATACCCAAGAGAATTGAAAACATGTCCACACAAAAGCTTGTATATAAATATTTTTAGCAGCATCATTCATAATAGCCAAAAAATAGAAACAACTCAAATGTCCATTATTGATGAATGAATAAACATAATAGGGTATATCCATACAATGGAATATGATTTAGCCATAGAAAGGAATGAAATACTGATACTTGCTGCAACATGAACCTTGAAAAGCATTATGCTAAGTGAAAGAAGTCAGTCACTGAAAACCACCTGTTGTATGGTACCATTTACATGAAATGGCCAGAATAGGGAAATCCACAGAGACAGATTGGTGATTGCCTAGGTCTGGGAGATTAGCCGGGGAAGTAGGGAGTGACTGCTAATAGATACGAGATTTCTTTTTGTGGTAATGAAAACATTCTAAAATTGATTGTGGTGATGGCTTTAGTATATTCAACTCCGTGAATACACTAAAAAACCATTGGAATGGATGATATATGGTATATGAATTCTCTATATATGTAAAAGGCTGAGCGACCATCCTACCATCCTACTGGCTGGTAGGTATGACATGCACTGACCACCAGGGGGCAGACACTCAATGCAGGAGCTGCAGAGCTGCGGTGACTTGGCAGCAGCGGTTCTTGGGTGATGCACCCTGGAACCGAAGAGGAGGGAGCCTGATCCCCTCAGGCCAGGCTGAGGGACCCCACCTTCTGGAAGGACCCTGCTCACTCTGCAGATGCCCTTTGAGCCCTGGCGCCGCCCCAGGTGCAGCTGGCTGGGGAGGAGGGACCGAGGGAGGTTGGCTCCAGGGAGTTTCCAGACCGACCTTCTCTCACCCAGTCCTGCCGGCCACCTTCTAATTAATTTCCTTTCAATGTGCATGAATCCGTTCACTGGGCCTCTAGTATCTCAATAAAGCTATTATAAAAAAATTAAAGAGTGTACCTGAAGTTTAAGAGATCATTTGTCTTTCTCTTACAGAAAAACTTACAGATAGGCAATAGAACCAATCAGATCTATTTTAGCTTGTGTCTCTTTAAATGTTGTTAAAAAGAGGCATGTTATTTATTTAGCTCAAAATAAAGTTATAGAATTTAAATTAAACTTGGGCTATTTTTTAAGGTGGAAAATTTTGAGACTAATGTGGATCCTTTTTGCGTTTTTTTGAGATATTTTTTTAAAAAACGTAAGAGAATTACTTACACGATGGGACCCTGGAACATTAGTGAATGGTTTTAAAACAATTTGTGTCAAAAGTTTTCTCAGAAGGTTATATACTATCTCTAATACTGTATGTAACTACCATAGCTTCATATATGATGCTGATTTTTGAGCCTCATCATTTAAAACCTATTTTAAAAGCATCTTTAACAATAGTGGTAAAAAGTTCAAATTTAGAAAATTTGCTTAAAATTTGTAAATTAGGGAATACTTAATATGTACAAAATAAGTCCTTACATCTATATGTAAAGATGAAGGAATAATAATAAAATGAACACTTAGGTACCCACCACCAAACTTAAGAGATAGAATATTAACATCACCAGTATCTTCATGGCCTCTAGCTTGCCCTCCTCCCAACGCAGAAATATTTATTGTCCTGAACTTTATCATTTTTTGCTTCATTTTGCAGTTTTACGGCAGTTAGATAACCCAAATGATAATATATTAAGTGAAAAAAAACCTTTTGGTTCTAATAACTTATTTTTGCTTTTCTTCACAGTGGGAATGTAAGACTGATTTAGATGTTGCATACAAATTTGGAAAAACTGTGGTGAGCTGTGAAGGCTATGAATCCTCTGAAGACCAGTATGTACTAAGAGGCTCCTGTGGCTTGGAGTATGACTTAGATTACACGGAACTTGGCCTGAAGAAATTGAGAGAGTCTGGCAAAAACAATGGCTTTAACCCGTTCTCTGATTATTATAAAAGTAATTCCAGTGGCATCAGTGGACTGATTACCATCGTGGTGCTACTTGCTATTGCCTTTGGAGTTTATAAGTTGTTCCTTGGTGGTGGTCAAGATTCTCCTCCACCGTATTCTGAGTCTCCTCCGTATTCTTCCGGTTTTCAGGGATTCACCAACTCAGCAGGACCCCCTCCCCCGGGCTTTAAGCCAGGGTTCACAGGTATGTTTGCTGAGGCAGTGGCACTAAGTAGGGTTCGTGTGAGGTATGAATCCTGTGCAGTTTCTGAAATAGAAAATGGTTGCCACAGGGAAACCAAGCAGATTTGTCTTTTCATTTTATTTTTTTACTTTCAACTTCTTTTATCTTTTTTGTTCTGTTTCTCTATAAGGATATTTGTGATTATTATTTTAAGGATGCATGATTAAATTATAAATCATCTTAATCAGAAAAACTTGATCAGATTTGGTAATAAGCATTTACCTTTTTTTTTTTAATCCTCACCCGAGGGTGTTTTTCCATTGATTTTTAGAGAGAGTGGAAGAGGGGTGGAAAGACAGAAATATCAATGTGAGAGAAACACATTGATTGGTTGCCTCCTGCATGTGCCCTAACCAGGACCTGGGCTAGAGAGGAGCCTGCTAGAGACGCACCCTTGACGGGAATAGAACCTGGGACCCTTCGGTCCACAGGCTGATGCTCTATCCACTGAGCCAAACCGGCTAGGGCTTTAAACATTTATCTTGAACTTTTGTCCCACACCATACATAAAGATTTATTCAGGTATTATAGATCTCAATATAAAAGATAAGACAATTGAGTTTCTAGATAAAAATGTAGGAAAAAAAATATATATATATATTATTTTTTTGTAGGAAAATATTTGTCATGATCTTGGGATAGGCAAAAATATCTTAGAACACAAAAAATACCATCCATGAAAGAAAAGATGGATAAATTAGACTATTTAAAATAAGAGTGCAAGCTACATACTTGGAGAAAATATTTATAAGACACATATCCAACAAAAGGTGCATATCTAGAATATATAAAGAACTTCTACAAATCTAAGGTAGACAATTCACTTTTAACAATGGACAGGATTTGAACAGATATTTTATAATAAAGGGGATATCCAGATAGCCAATAAAAGTATGAAAAGGTGTTTAGCATTATTAATCTGGAGAATGCAGATTAAAAGCATAGTGAATTCATTATTAACCACTATAATGGCTAACATTATATGCTGAGTAGTCAACTGAGGGTAGTCAGCTAGAACTTGTTGGTAGGAGTTAGAATGGTAAAACACATTGGAAAACTCAATATCTCCTAAATTTACACCTAGTCTATGACCCAGTAGTTCCATTCCTTGATACATACTAAGAGAAATGTATGTATAAATACACAAAATATCATGCACAAGAATGTTCATAGCAGTTTTATGCACAGTAGTCGAACACTGGAAATGAGATGTCCATAAACATTAGAATGAGACAAATTGTGCTTTCTTTCAATGGAATACCACACATTAATTTTTAAAAGCCCAAAACCTGATATATACAGTAATAGGTTTGACTCTCATAGATGTGATTTACCAGACCAAAAGAGTACCTACCATATGATTCCATTTATAAAGAGTGCAAGTATGGCTAAAACTAAAGTTTGGTGAAAGAAGTCAGAGAAAGGCTTATCTCTGATGTGGGTGGGTGTCTATTGGGAATGGTCATGAGGAGGACGCTTTCTGCATGGTAAAAATGTTCTATTGATGTGAGTAGTGGTTACACACACAGGTACATATGTATAAATTTATTAAGTTTCACACGTTTGATTTGCATACTTTATGTATATTACACATCAGTTTAAAAAAAGTTCCTCTGAGCAGAAGATACCTTTTGGTTCCTTTAAGACCTGACTTCCCAACTGATACAAATATCTGGCTGTCTCCACTTGGGTTCCTCCGTTAGACACTCAAGCATAGCTGTCTCCTGGAGCTTTTAGAAATGTTCATGATGCAGAAGGGAAGTAACTCTGATAAGTGGGAGTCATTTTCTAATAGCTCATCTTAAGCAGGGCAAATGTGACCTTATAGGAAGACCCCTCATCCTAAAAGAAATCATTAGTTATAAACCCACATTTTACTAAAACACTTTTTGAATTTAACTTGTTTATAAGTTGAGGCCTGAGTACTAGTAAAAAATAGTACTACAGACGATGTGGCGAAGGCCTGGGGGGAGAGGGCGGAGGCTGAGTGGAGTGGGGCATGGGGACATCTGTAACAGTGTCAACAAGAAAAAATAGAACAGATGAAATAATTGAAATATCCCATTATCTTTGGTTCTATAGGCTATGTTTGTTTAAATGAGGATACTTAATAAATAATTTTTATTTCTAGGAACGCCTGGTGCAACTTACGGTTTTGGCAGTGCTTTCACAGGACAACAAGGAAATGCAAATTCGGGACCAGGTTTCTGGACTGGCTTGGGAACTGGAGGAATATTAGGATATTTGTTTGGCAGCAATAGGTAGGCTTTGCATTTATCTCACTTGGTCTTTAATTCAAAATTTCTTTAGAGAGTTCTTTGTTTTGCTTATAGTTTGACTGGATTTGATAGGGAAAATAAATTATGATGAATTACCCTTATTAAATCAAGTTCTTTGGCTATGGGGAAAGGTATACTATATGTGCCATGATCAATATTGTGTGTGTTATTTTCTTTCATTGTATTTCTTCTTCCTATGTCATTCTTATTAGATAACATGAGATAGGAAAAAGACTTTACTTGACATCTGAGAAAATAGGCAGGAAAGAACAATATTTGGGGAACAGAATTCTGGTTTGGTAGGAGAATGATAGAAGTAAGGCTGGAAGAAACTTAGGGTCAGATTTTGGAATGTCTTCAATATTATTGGTAGTTGAAGTTTAGATTTTATTCAAGTTTGAATTCAGAAAGAAAGCTGTTTCTCCCTTTCATTTTCTTCCCCCATGGCAATGACCATAACAATATCAGAAATATGAAACAGTATTTAATTCATGTTAATCCTAATATACCAGAATATTAAAGAAAAAACACAATAAAGATTTTTATCTGATAGTGTAGGGATAGGAAGGTATTTAAAAATTAAAGGCACAAGAAAAATACTTGATACACTTTTATGTCTTTATAGGGCAACAACACCCTTTTCAGACTCATGGTACCGCCCATCTTATCCCTCATATTTCGGCACAGGAAATAGCCGTGCTTACTCCCCGCATTGTGGAGACTCCGGTAACTATTCAGCATGTTCAAGTTCACAGACAAAAACCAGAACAGCATCAGGTAAGAGCAAAAATATGGAAGTTCAGAAGATGATTAACTATATATTTAGCAATCATGGTTTTATTTGGTATGCACACCAGAAATATTAATAGCACAATTAACTGAGATTAAAATATAATTCAAATTCATCCTTTTCTTGCACTTCTAAACATTCTTTAAAAATCAAACAAGGATTTGATTTAAATTGCTGCCACTAACCAAGGATTTAACTGAAACTTTCCTGGACATTGGTGTCCATATTTGCTTAATTCTGTGATATCTAGGGATCCTTTAAGTCAGTGGTTCTCAACCTTCTGGGCCTTTAAATACAGTTTCTCATGTTGTGACCCAACCATAAAATTATTTTTCTTGCGACTTCATAACTGTAATGTTGCTACTGTTATGAATCGTAATGTAAATATCTGATATACAGGATGGTCTTAGGCGACCTCTGTGAAAGGGTCGTTCAACCGCCAAAGGGGTCACGACCCACAGGTTGAGAACCGCTGGTTTAAGTTCTAAAAGGGAATTTTCTAGGTAGAAATTTGAACTTTTAAAGTTCAGTAAAACTCAATAAAAATTGAACCGTAGTTTAAGTAATTGTCAAGATTTTGATTATAATGTTACAGTTACTAAGAGGACATTTTGCAAAATGCAAAGATTCTTAAAAACAACTATTTGGAGTTAAACATCCGGCTAATTAGCAGAGAATGGGAGGTGGTAAGTAATGAGGCAATAATGGGATGCTGTGTATTGAGTGTCTTCTTCAGCAGGGGGAAGTTATAGAACAATGATTACTTCTTGAAATTGGTAGAATATATTTAAATAGGTTTTGAAATGTAACAGTGGAATTCTCCTAATGCTGCTGTGAATATAAATTAATACAATCACTTTGAAAAACTGTTTGGCATTACCTAATTGAACCCAAGACTCAGCAGTTTCATTCTCAGATATATAGAAACAGAAATGCATATGCTTGTATACCAAAAGATAAGTACAGGAATGTTCATAGCATCCCTATTCATAATAACCTCTTACTGGATTACCCATCAGCAATAAAATGGGCGAATAAATTGAGTTATTGATACTATGGACTACTGTGCAACAGTGAGCATGAATATATAGTTGTATCCAATAATGTGGATAGGTTTGCCAAATAGAAAGAAACTAGGCACAAAAGAATATATACGATAGGATTACAACATTCATATTTATAAATATACATGTTTAAAAACAAGCAAAACTAACCTATGGTGTTGGATGCTAACCTTAGCTAATAAAAGAAAAACATGCAAATTGACTGTACCTCTGCTACACCCACAAGCCACGCCCACCAGCCAATCAGGAGCGAGTATGCAAATAAACCCAATCAAGATGGCAGCGGCCACGGAGCTGTAGCGAACAGGAGGCTTGGGTTGCTCCTGGTGATGGAGGAAGCCAAGCTTCCCGCCTGCCCTGGCTGGCTGTGTGCTCCGCTCAAGGCTACAAAGTTTCAATTATAGAAGATAAATAAATACCAGATACCTGCTTCTAGCTGCTGGGGCCTCCGCTCAAGGAGGGTCTGGGAGCCTGGGTTGACCGGGGCCATGGCCAGCCTGCAAACAGTTATCAGCCCCTCACCCAGGTAGGCCAGTCACCCCATTGGGGACCCCCACCCTGAAGGGGGTGTGGTCTGTTGGCAAACAGCCATCAGCCCCTCACCCAGGCTGGCCAGGCACCCTAGTGGGGACCCCTACTCTGAAGGGAGTGTGGCCAGCTTGAAAACAGCCCTCAGCCCCTTGCCCAGGCTGCCCCACACCCCAAGGGAACCCCCACCCTGATCTGGGACACCCTTCAGGGCAAACCAGCCGGCCTCCACCCGTGCCCCAGGCCTCTAGCTATACCAATAAAAGGATAATATGATAATTAGACTGGGAGACCTTCCAGAAGACCTTCTGGACGTTCTTCTGGACAAAGCCATGGTGGCGGGGCCGAGGTAGAGGCGATTAGAGGCCAAGAGGGGAGGGCAGTAGTGGGTGATCAGGCTGGTGGGGGGCGAAGCCATTGGGGGTAAGCAGACCAGCAGGGGGGCCAGTTAGGGGCAAGCAGGCCATCAGAGGGGGTCAGTTGGAGGTGATCAGGACAGTGGGGTGGGGGACAGTTGGGGGTGAGCAGGCCGGCAGGCAGAGTGATTGGGGCAATCAGACCGGCAGGCAGGCAGGTGAGTGGTTAGGAGCCAGCAGTCCCGGATTGCAAGAGGGATGTCCAACTGCCGGTTTAGGCCCGATCCCTGTAAACTGGCAGTAGGACATCCTTCGAGGGGGTCCCAGATTGGAGAGGGTGCAGGCCGGGCTGAGGAACACCCCCTCCCCCATGCACGAATTTCGTGCACCGGGCCACTAGTACCTTATAATTGGGAGGATATATAAAAATGTAACTACATAGGACATGACAAAAGAAAACTCATTCTCAGTGGAAACAAAAATTATAAAAACCATAAATATCAACTAAAATGTATGGGATTTATATGAAGAAAATCGTAAAACATTACCAAATAACTTAAAGGAAACCTGAAAAAAATCAAGAGACTTTTCAGGTGGGAACACTGTCATTTTGTAACCCTTTAGCACGTGTGCATGTGTGGCCATTGGAAAGTCTGAAACTCTCCCCACATTATTTCTATTTACCCCTGGAGTTATGAGAGGTGGTAGGACATAGCTTGGGCTCTATTGGCTTTCCTGCTTTTCGGCTTAGACTTTGAGTATTGCCTGAACCACATTGGCCCCAAGGTAGACTACATCTTTGGTTTACTGGACTAAAAGTTATTTGCTGCAAGCAACTTGAATAGACATGATGATGAATGGATGATGAGGAGGGCTGTTTTGGGGAGGAGCTGCACTTTGTCGTGCATAGCCCTGTTCCATCAGGGCTCACATTCTCTCCTTCTCGCATGTCTCTTTTATTCACTTGCTAACAATAAAATGTATTATGTTGTAATTTTATAAGCAATTCTAGTGCATTAAAAAAAATAATATAAATTTTACTCTTTTTATTTAGGATACGGCGGTACCAAAAGACGATAAGAAAGTAAAAAGTTGAAGTGAAACACTGGACGCAAAATTTCTGATTTTTCATCACTTTCTCTTAAAAAGTGCTACCAGCCAATAACTGGGAAAGGGAATATTAAAACATTCTGTGGTGTTTTGTCTTGTGTAGCTTTTTGTATTTTATCATTTAGTGAAACTAAAGTTGATAATGTGACAAAATACTTATGTAGAAAATTGTGTTAGTGTAACATGCAGATGTTTATTATAGTTTTTGAAAGTGATGATTACTATAGAATGCTAAAAATGTATTGTTTAATTTCTAAAGACTGTGATGCCATGAGAAGCATTAAGAATGAAGGCTTTATACCCGTGATCGGCAAACTGCGGCTCGCGAGCCACATGCGGCTCTTTCGCCCCTTGAGTGTGGCTCTTCCACAAAATACCATGTGTGGGCGCATGTACAGTGCGATTGAAACTTCGTGGCCCATGCGCAGAAGTTGGTTTTCGGCCTGGGAGAGTCTATTTTGAAGAAGTACTGTTGATATTTGGCTCTGTTGACTAATAAGAGTTTGCCGACCACTGCTTTATACCAGTAGACACTGAGTAATTAAAATTTCAATCTGTTTTTTGTTCATGGTTCATAACCTCATAGAAGCAATAATATATTTGGTATTCAGTATTTGGTGTTTGCTCTTCTTCAAACATTTAAACCAAGCTTTGAACTACTATCCTAACTTGTGGGATTTGAACTATTGTAGTTACTTGTGGGAGTTGATCACTTTGAGCTCAGGAGCTTTGAATCCTTCCATGGTGGTGGGCTTTTGTTGAGAATTACCTTTGTTAGGAAAAGGTAGGAAACAAATAAGTATCTAGAAGTTTGTTGTGAATGATTGTGTGCTGATAAAGATTCTTGAAATCTCCTTATTCATTTCTCAAGAAGTAAAGTTCAAATGCTTTAACCAAGGTCTTTAATAGCCAGAGCATGCAATTCTGTGTGGAACCTCAAATATTACTGTAGCAGTTTCAGTCTTACATTAAAGTGACAAAAATAAAAACAAGGGGTTTTATTCTTACTCTTTTTACCTGCTTTGGACACAAACTGATGTTACCTTTTTACCTTTTCCCCCAAAAATGGTTCATGCAGAAGTTCTAGCCCCCTAAACAGTAATTTCCCAGGGAAATCTAGCCTTAGTTACCAGTCATTTGATGAATGTTCTCAAACAAATAATTTGGAAATTGTGTGGAAGGAAGCCTGTGCTAAAAATTGCTTTAAAAAAAAGAAAAAATTATATCTCCTAGCTTCCAAAGGTTGCACAGTCTTAGTTAAGCTGTAACCTTAAAGTTTCACTTTTACTTTTTAGGAACCATTTAGAAACAAACCTTTATTTAGATTTTAAAATGTGATTTAGGGAGTAGGTGGGAGGGTACTGTGAATAGAGCTATCCTTTTTTCATCAGTAAAACTTGGTAGAAATTTTTATCTATGTTACAGAGGAGACAATTTTTCCTCAGGTTGCAATAAATCCTTATCCTGTTTTTTTTTTTTTTTTTTTTGTAGTAGTGTAATTAAAGAAAATCCAGTTTATTGCTTTTTTCCCCCTATTTGCTTATTGCTTACTTTTTTTGCTACAGGAATTGATAATCTTGCATTGAATAGGTTTTACTTGGAGAGCAAAGTGAAAAATTTTGTTAATTTAGAACTGCTGTAGATTGGGCTGATAATAGTGATCTGTGCGTTAAATTTGCTGTTCTCAAAACACTCTGCTCAGATTTCTATTTTTGAATACGTTATTGTAAATCACTGGGATCAAGGGAAATAATGAGTGAATATAGAGTTAACTAAATTGGTGGCTTGGACTCCTCTCAGGAATCCTAGAGTGTCCTTTGAGGCTCTTTCAGAGTCGGCCTGGAAGGAAGAGAAGGAAAGAAGCTGAGTGTGTAGGGCTTAAGATCCTCTCCTCCCCCCGACCCCCATATGTTTACATTTCCTTGTTTATGGAAAAGATTCTGAGTTATTCCCTTCAAAATCTAAGATAGTTTGACTGGGTCCCATTAGGAGTTGATGGCACAGGGAAATCCTTCAGTTGGGAGCTCCGTGTGCCTGGGAGGGCATGAAGAGGAAGTAGGGAGGTGAAATGGAGCTAAGATAAGCTGTACAGTTTTACGAGGATTCAGCAGATCTTTTTGGATGTTAGGGTGAGATTTTTTATTTTTTAGCCAGTTACGTTACTCTAGTTCTGGGTATGCTTCCCTCTGCAGCTCCTTGATCTCTACCATTCTGGCCCCTGTCCTCCAAGACTGGCTTAAGTTTTTTTAAAAAATATACACAGTGTATTGATTTCAGAGAGAAAGGGAGAGGGAGAGAGAGATAGAAACATCAATGATGAGATTCCACCTACCTTTGTTTCAAGTTAACCCTCTCAAATTCATACATCTGGAGTTCCCATCTCTTTCAGGGCAAGTTTCTGGATCTCTTTGAGTGACAGAGCAGCAAGCTTCTTGAAACCCACTCCATAGATGTGCTTATGGATGTTGATGGTGTGTTCTCTGGTCACTACCTCGTGGATGGCACAAAGGCCCTACTTCTCTCTGTTATTTGCTAGAGCCATTATGCCAGGCCCAAGTTGGAAAGGAAGCAGAGACATTACTTTTACTCTTATTTTTTAAAATATATTTTTATTGATTTCAGAGATGAAGGAAGAGAGAGAGAGAGAGAGAAACATCAATGATGAGAATCATTGATCGGCTGCCTTCTGCACACCCCCACTGAGTATTAAGCCCACGACCCTGATATGTGACCTTGACCGGGATGGAACCCGGGACCTTTTAGTCCACAGGCTGGTGCTCTATCCACTGAGACAAATCAGCCAGGGCAAGATTTTACTTATAATTTCAGTTTCTTCCTCAGCAAAAATGGGATTAAAGGGTGTGGAGAAATCCAATGGGATGATTACCAAGGAGCTAATCAGATTATGCATTTAACCAAAGTTAATCCCTCCTGGCCTGCAGGAATAAGAGGAGATCCCACCAACCAGGTTTCTGAACTTCCTCCTATCCCCACCCTGGCCCACATGTCCCACCTCCAGGGAGGAACCTATGGTGAGTGAGGTCTTAAAGAGATGCCCCCTCCTGGTGGTATAAATAGGCCAGGCTCACGTTACTGAGCATTTCACTGGTAGGAGACTGGCTTGGGAGACTCTTCTTGGAGACGCGCTTCAGGGACTCAAAGGAGCAGGCCCCAGATAGCAGGGTGTGCTTGCGTCATCGGCCGGCCGCCATCGACGTCGCGGAGAGATACCACTGAGGCCCGGCCGGCCTGTCAGTCACTGAGCCGCTGGTCCGCACCGAGGGGCCGGGTCGGCGGGGCCGGCGCCGCCATGGCGGCTGCATTGGACCTGGACCTGGAGACCGCGGAAGGCAGCGAGGGCTTGCCAGAGTTCAGCCCTGCGGACGCGTGTCCCCTCGCCGACTTGAGGACGGCTGCCCTGGAGCCCGTGGGGCACTGTGAGGAGGTGGAGCTGACCGAGAGCAGTGTGAACCCCGGCCCCGAGCGCCTTGGGCCGCACTGCTTTGAGCTGCTGCGTGTGCTGGGCACGGGGGGCTATGGCAAGGTGTTCCAGGTGCGAAAGGTGCAGGGCACCAACTTGGGCAAAATATATGCCATGAAGGTCCTGAGGAAGGACCAGATTGTGCGCAGCGCCAAGGACGTGGCGCACACCCGGGCTGAACGACGCATTCTGGAGTCGGTGAAGCACCCCTTCATTGTGGAGCTGGCCTATGCCTTCCAGACCAGGGGCAAGCTCTACCTCGTCCTCGAGTGCCTCAGTGGCGGCGAGCTCTTCACACACTTGCAGCGAGAGCGCATCTTGCGGGAAGACACGGCCTGTTTCTACCTGGCAGAGATCACACTGGCCCTGGGCCACCTCCACTCCCAAGGCATCATCTACCGTGACCTCAAACCCAAGAACATCATGCTCAACAGCCAGGGCCACATCAAACTGACGGACTTCGGGCTCTGCAAGGAGTTCATTCACAAGGGTGCTGTCACCCACACCTTCTGTGGCACCATTAAGTACATGGCCCCTGAGATTGTGGTGCGCCGCGGCCACAACCGGGCGGTGGACTGGTGGAGCCTGGGCGTCCTGATGTACGAGATGCTCACTGGATCGCCACCCTTCACTGCAGAGAATCGGAAGAAAACCATGGACAAGATCATCAAAGGGAAGCTGAGGCTGCCCCTTTACCTCACCCCGGATGCCCGGGACCTCGTCCAAAAGTTTCTGAAGCGGAATCCCAGCCAACGGATCGGGGGTGGCCCAGGGGACGCTGCGGATGTACAGAGGCACCCCTTTTTCCGGCACATTCATTGGGATGATCTCCTGGCCTGCCGCGTGGACCCCCCTTTCAGGCCCTGTCTGCAATCAGAGGAGGACGTGAGCCAGTTTGACACCCGCTTCACGCGGCAGGCACCAGTGGACAGTCCGGATGACACGGCCCTCAGTGAGAGTGCCAACCAGGCCTTCCTGGGCTTCACGTACGTGGCGCCCTCCATCCTGGACGGCATCAAGGAGGGCTTCTCCTTCTAGCCCGAGCTGCGCTCCCCCAGGCGCCTCAACAGCAGCCCCCGGACCCCCATCCACCCCCTGAAGTTCTCACCCTTTGAGGGGTTCTGGCCCAGTCCCGGCCCACCAGAGCCCATGGAGCCCCCTCTACCTCCTCTCCTGCCAGCACCGCCACCAGCACCCTGGAGCACTGTCCCCCTCCCCATCCGACCCCCCTCAGGGAAGGGCCATGGGTACCCTGGGCACTAGGAGGATGGGCAGGGATGAAGCCAGCTGCGGAGGCTCCTGCCTGCAGGCCAAGAAGCACCCCAGGGGACATTGGGGTCCAGGAGTGAGTGTGTGTGAGAGCCTGTCTCTGTTGGGAGTGGCCATGCCCCTGAATCATGAGCGGGGGCTTGCTGCGGGGGAGGGCCTCCCACCGCTGATCTGTGTGCTTGCAGAATAAAGGATCAGATCATGGCAAAACCAAAAATAAAATAAAATAAAAAAATAAAAAATAAATAAAATTAAAAAAAAAAGAAACATCAATGATGAGAATCACTGATCTGCTGCCTCCTGCACACCCCATACTGGAACTGGGGATGAAGCCTGCAACCCAGCATGAGCCCTTGACCAGATGGAACCCGGGGCGCTTCAGTCCACAGGCTGATTGATGCTCTCTCCACTGAGCCGAACCAGCTGGGGCAAGACCGGCTTCAATTTATCTATTGCTCTTCCATACACATGGTACACACTTTTACTATTGTACTCAGTATGTTGCACTGTAATTACTTTTCAGTATAGGTCTTTCCGTTTTTTAAAATATATTTTATTGATTTTTTACAGAGAGGAAGGGAGAGGGATAGTTACAATCATTGATTAGAAAGAAACATTGATCAGCTGCCTTCTGCACACCCCCACTGAGTATTAAGCCCACAACCCTGGTATGTGACCTTCACCTGAATCGAACCCAGGACCCTTTAGTCCACAGGCTGGTGCTCTTTCCACTGAGAGAAGTCAGCCAGGGCAAGATTTTACTTATAATTTCAGTTTCTTCCTCAGCAAAAATGGGATTAAAGGGTGTGGAGAAATCCAATGGGATGATTACCAAGGAGCTAATCAGATTGTGCATTTAACCAAAGTTAATCCCTCCTGGCCTGCAGGAATAAGAGGAGATCCCACCAACCAGATTTCTGAACTTCCTCCTATCCCCACCCTGGCCCACATGTCCCACCTCCAGGGAGGAACCTATGGTGAGTGAGGTCTTAAAGAGATGCCCCCTCCTGGTGGTATAAATAAGCCAGGCTCACGTTACTGAGCATTTCACTGGTAGGAGACTGGCTTGGGAGACTCTTCTTGGAGACGCGCTTCAGGGACTCAAAGGAGCAGGCCCCAGATAGCAGGGTGTGCTTGCGTCATCGGCCGGCCGCCATCGACGTCGCGGAGAGATACCACTGAGGCCCGGCCGGCCTGTCAGTCACTGAGCCGCTGGTCCGCACCGAGGGGCCGGGTCCGGCGGGGCCGGCGCCGCCATGGCGGCCGCATTGGACCTGGACCTGGAGACCGCGGAAGGCAGCGAGGGCTTGCCAGAGTTCAGCCCTGCGGACGCGTGTCCCCTCGCCGACTTGAGGACGGCTGCCCTGGAGCCCGTGGGGCACTGTGAGGAGGTGGAGCTGACCGAGAGCAGTGTGAACCCCGGCCCCGAGCGCCTTGGGCCGCACTGCTTTGAGCTGCTGCGTGTGCTGGGCACGGGGGGCTATGGCAAGGTGTTCCAGGTGCGAAAGGTGCAGGGCACCAACTTGGGCAAAATATATGCCATGAAGGTCCTGAGGAAGGACCAGATTGTGCGCAGCGCCAAGGACGTGGCGCACACCCGGGCTGAACGACGCATTCTGGAGTCGGTGAAGCACCCCTTCATTGTGGAGCTGGCCTATGCCTTCCAGACCAGGGGCAAGCTCTACCTCGTCCTCGAGTGCCTCAGTGGCGGCGAGCTCTTCACACACTTGCAGCGAGAGCGCATCTTGCGGGAAGACACGGCCTGTTTCTACCTGGCAGAGATCACACTGGCCCTGGGCCACCTCCACTCCCAAGGCATCATCTACCGTGACCTCAAACCCGAGAACATCATGCTCAACAGCCAGGGCCACATCAAACTGACGGACTTCGGGCTCTGCAAGGAGTTCATTCACGAGGGTGCTGTCACCCACACCTTCTGTGGCACCACTGAGTACATGGCCCCTGAGATTGTGGTGCGCTGCGGCCACAACCGGGCGGTGGACTGGTGGAGCCTGGGCGTCCTGATGTACGAGATGCTCACTGGATCGCCACCCTTCACTGCAGAGAATCGGAAGAAAACCATGGACAAGATCATCAAAGGGAAGCTGAGGCTGCCCCTTTACCTCACCCCGGATGCCCGGGACCTCGTCCAAAAGTTTCTGAAGCGGAATCCCAGCCAACGGATCGGGGGTGGCCCAGGGGACGCTGCGGATGTACAGAGGCACCCCTTTTTCCGGCACATTCATTGGGATGATCTCCTGGCCTGCCGCGTGGACCCCCCTTTCAGGCCCTGTCTGCAATCAGAGGAGGACGTGAGCCAGTTTGACACCCGCTTCACGCGGCAGGCACCAGTGGACAGTCCGGATGACACGGCCCTCAGTGAGAGCGCCAACCAGGCCTTCCTGGGCTTCACGTACGTGGCCCCCTCCGTCCTGGACGGCATCAAGGAGGGCTTCTACTTCTAGCCCGAGCTGTGCTCCCCCAGGCGCCTCAACAGCAGTCCCCGGACCCCCATCCGCCCCCTGAAGTTCTCACCCTTTGGGGGGTTCTGGCCCAGTCCCGGCCCACCAGAGCCCATGGAGCCCCCTCTACCTCCTCTCCTGCCAGCACCGCCACCACCACCCTAGAGCACTGTCCCCCTCCCCATCGGACCCCCCTCAGGGAATAGGAAGACCCAGAGGGGCCATGGGTACCCTGGGCACTAGGAGGATGGGCAGGGATGAAGCCAGCTGGCGAGGCTCCTGCCTGCAGGCCAAGAAGCACCCCAGGGGACATTGGGGTCCAGGAGTGAGTGTGTGTGAGAGCCTGTCTTTGTTGGGAGTGGCCATGCCCCTGAATCATGAGCGGGGGCTTGCTGCGGGGGAGGGCCTCCCACCGCTGATCTGTGTGCTTGCAGAATAAAGGATCAGATCATGGCAAAAATAAATAAATAAATAAATAAATAAATAAATAAACCTAAATAAATAAATAAATAAATAAATAAATAATAAATAAATAAATAAAAATGTTTTTTTAAAAAAGAAACATCAATGATGAGCATCACCGATCCGCTGCCTCCTGCAGGCCCCATACTGGAACTGGGAATTGATCCTGCAACCCAGGCATTTGCCCTTGACCAGATGGAACCCGGGGCGCTTCAGTCCACAGGCTGATTGATGCTCTCTCCACTGAGCCAAACCGGCGAGGGCAAGACCGGCTTCAATTTATCTATTGCTCTTCCATACACATGGTACACACTTTTACTATTGTACTCAGTATGTTGCACTGTAACTACTTTTCAGTATAGGTCTTTCCGTTTTTTAAAATATATTTTATTGATTTTTTACAGAGCGGAAGGGAGTGAGATAGTTAGAATCATCGTTAATAAACATCGGTCAGCTGCCTCCTGCACGCCCCCTACTGGGGAGGTGCCCACAACCTAGGTACATGCCCTTGATCAGAATGGAACTTGGGACCCTTCGGTGCGCAGGCCAATGCTCAATCCACTGAGGCAAACCGGCTATGGCAGTATAGGTCTTTCTTACTACTCTGAGCTCCTTACAGAAAAGGGGCAAATATTATTTCTTCCTGCCCATTGTGTTGCCGGAGGGTTGGGTGGGTGGAATTTTGTTGCTAGTGGGACTGGGGTTCTTGGGGTAGCGCTGGAATAAGAATTTCTGGAGGCCCCCATGGGAGGTTGAGATGTGGTAGAAAGCTTTATTTGCATGGAATTATAACCCTCCGTTTGCAAAGTCTCATTGTCTTTAAACCATTCTTGGAAAATAAGCAGGGGCGTGGCAGGGGTGGGGGGGAGTTCAGTCGAGCTAAAAGCAGTGCCCGTGTCAGAGTTTCTATCCATGATGGCGCTAACTCTGGCAGAGCATCAGGCTAGCTCCAGCCCATCAGTCTATTGCGTGTTGGATCCACATGGCCGTGGAGTCCATTTGACTGTGGGCTCCGGGGGCAAGTGCACAGCCAATGAGTCCCGCAAGCCAGGAGTCAGGTGCTAGCAAGAGAGAGTGCTTTTTTGTTGAGGAGTTCAATACCTCAGATTTCAAGCCCTTGCAGTGGCCACGCCTATTCTGGCCACTGACTCTCCCAGGTGTGACTGATGTAAGCATCTTCCCATGTCACCCAGACCTTTCTGGGCATGTGACTATTGTCCAGTCCCTTCCCCCAGCAGTCTGCAAGGAACCAGCATGGGAAATACTAACTGCAGCTTCCCGACAAAGCTGTATAAATGGCATACCTATATTATATAGCCTCCCTTTGCGTCTTTTCTGTTAAATAATAACCAGGTTATTATAATGCTATCACTTGCAGGGAGGGTCTGGTCATGTGACTAAATTTTGTCAATTAGAGACTTCTCCCTCCAGGTCTTTGGTGGTAGTGGCACAAAGTCCTGAGGACAATTAAGTGATTATTCCAGTGGTGGTTCCAAAGGAGACATTTGAACCGGAGAGCTGCTGTGTGTTGTACGTCTCACCTGAGTTGTGGGCTGCCTGGGGTGCCCATGCCTGAAAACCTGCCTCTTCCTAAGCCTGGTTTGCCAGCCTTTCCATTACTCTGTGAAGTATTTGATATATACGTTAATAAATTCCTTTTCTGCCCAATTTACTAGGGTCATTTTGTTTGCTATGAAAAACTTCGTATGTGTGGTGAATCTCCTAAGATTATTTAATTCTCCGCAACAGATTCTGGCTAATTGTAATAAAACATTGTGGTTGACTCCCAACATCTATTCTTCCCTGTTGATTTGGTCTCTAGTGGTTCTCAAACTTGAAGGAGCATCAGAATCACTGAAGGGTTTTGAGTATAGGTTGCTTGGCACTACCCTCCGGCCCCAAGTTTCTGATTTGATAGGAATAATAGTTTTATGTGTCAACTTGGCTAGGTTATAGTCCCCAGTTATTCAAACACTATTCTAGGAATTGCTGTGAAGGCATTTTGTAGATGTGATTAATGTGTACAATCAGTTGACCTTAAGTGAAGGAAATTATCCTTGATGGTATGGGTAATCTGATCCAGTCAGTCAAAAGGCCTTGGGAGTAGAACAAACATTTCCTAGGGGGAAATGGCAGCTTCCGATAAAGAGTGAGCACCTGCTCTTCCTGATGGCCTACCCCATGGATATTGGACTTGCTTAGCCGGCCCCCCAATTGTGTAAGCCAGTTCCTTCAGTTCCTTCCAATAAATCCCTCCATATGTGTCTGCTACTGGTTCTGTTTCTCTGGTTGAATCCTGGTTGATAAGATTTTGGTGTTAGAAGTGATTTTGGAGAAACAGAATCTTAAGGATGAGTTTTTTGAATTGGTTCTTGTTTTCTGGAATATGTTTTCTAACCTGATTAAATTGAAAGGCACTCATGACTATTTCTAGTGGTAAAGGGGATGAAGGTTATTCATAGACTCAGCAGCAGAGACTTGCCCTCACTGAAACTGATCTGGCTGCAGCCACTGCCGAGGGCCTAGTCTTTAACAGTGGAGACCCACACTGAGCTCTGGTTGTGGTACCTTTCCCTGGGGGGGAAGCGGGGAGGACCAGGGAATTGGTCGCCTTGATTCCATTAGACCATGCCGGAAGCCGGTCCACCCTTGCCGCTTGACACAGTCGCTGCAGGAAAGAAACATCTGCACAGCATATGTTTCAAGGGACCTGGCGTATAATGGCATACTGTTCTTAATATGTTTGCTCCCCTTAGTGCTATGTGTTTTAACCAAGGTCACCTCTCCGAGAAAGGTTGTTTCCCCAGGTAGGGATTTTTCCCTGAAGTTAGGGAGGGGATAAAACCCCTTAACTAAGTGCCAGGAGGGTAGTTAATCACTTTAGCTACAAACAATCATGCTTAAGCTACATAATCTTTACTCCCTGGAATGGAGATAAGAAACGCCCTAACCTTTGCAATAGAAATTGACAGGATTAAAATCAACTGGTATAAATACAGATGTAACAAGACAATATACACCAGAACTTGGCTGGAGATCCTAACCAGAACTTGGCTAGAGATCCTGGCCAGGCTGCTGATCAACTGAACGCTGTCTCCGTGTCATTCCTTTTTCGCTGACTCCGTCCACACCTTTGGGGACCCCTGGACCTGCTGGGGTTGGACCCCAGCAAGACCAGTGGTAGGCAAACTGCGGCCCCTTGAGTGTGGCTCTTCCACAAAATACCACGTGCGGGTGCACCCATACAGTGCGATTGAAACTTCGTGGCCACACTCAAGGGGCCAAAGAGCTGCATGTGGCTCGCTGCATTAGACCACTTCTATCACTGTTTGTTGTCATTGGAATAGACATTTACTTTAGGTTGGATTTGCCCTTCCCACTTGAAATGCTTCTTGTAAAATACACGATATGTGGGCTTACAGAATGCCTCATTAATAAGCCTGGCACTATTCCAAATTGCATTGTTTCATAGTGAATGAAGTGCAGCAGTGAACTATACCTACGTATTTTATGGGGGCCTCTATTGTTGCCTGGTCCTAAGAGCATTAAGTCTTCAAGGTTTTGTTAGCTCTAAGATGACTTCAGGAAAATGTCCTTTTCCCATTTTGTTTAGTATTGTTAGTTTTCCCGTGTGTAGGATTGGTCCCAATCATCCAGTCCTCCATTACTAGAAAGTGGAATTCCCCTACTTTACATATTTGAAGATAGCTCTACCTTTTCCCCAAGGTAGACAGTCAAAACATCTCCAGTCATTTCTTACTTTATTTAATTTCTAGGTGCCCCCACCATCTAGTTATTCTAGATTTGATAATATTTATCTTTTTATCCCTAGCAAAATCTTTTTTAGTTTCCTTATAACTCTAGAGGAAAAAAAAATTTTTTTTCTCCTTACATTAAACATTCAAGATTATGAATATTTATTGTTAAATTACTTAAATGAAGTTATATTTAATTTAATTATATAGTTAAAGTAATTTGCAATTGTACATATTTTAATAATTTTAGGTTATAGTCATACATATTCCATAATTAAAAATAAAATTAGCACAAGTTCTTTCTAAAACACTCAAATAGTTTTGAAGGATATAAAGAGAAAAGCAAAAAGTCTGTATCGGTACTACTTCATATAGCCATTCCTCTGTCCTTTCAATGTGGTCTTTCTATCTAGAAATAACCTCTGTTAACTATTTTTGGTTATTTTTCTAAAAATAATATATCATGTCCAGATTTTTTTTCCACATAGAATAGATGTGCTTTATTTTTTAACAGCTGCATAGTATTCTATCATATGTATATAGCATAATTTAATCTGCCAGTTCTTTTATTGATAGATGCCATGTTTTCAGAAATTTTCTTATTTTCAACAATGCAATGCTGAACATCCAAAGATATCTTTAGTACATGTGTTTATGTCACTCTACAAAGAGACAGGATGGACCTCCGCCCAAACAATAGAGTCATTATTGTAGTTTAGATCTTTCATATATATGTATTTAGATTTGTTTGATATATTTCTAAATTGAGACGATCCATGCTTAAATGTGGCACCCGGACTGAAATTCAGATGTGGCTGTAAGAGGAGCTGCCGTTAAACATGGCCTCCCATCTTTCCGCATCGGTAAAGGGAGTCACTGAAGCAGAGCTTTGTTCTGGGAAGACTCTGCGGCTCTTCTGAAATAAATACGGGGTAAGTAGCCACCCACTGCTCTTGGGGTATTGTATAACATCTCTTTTAAAAATGTCTTTTTAAAAAAAGATATTTTTATTTATTTTTAGAGAGGAAGGGAGAGAGAGATAGAAACATCAATGATGAGAGAGAATCATTGATCGGTTGGCTTGGGTATGCCCACACTTGGGATTGAGCCCATAACCCAGGCATGTGCCTTGACCACGAATCAAACCGTGATCTGGTTCGTAGGTTGACGCTTAACCACTGAGTCACACTGGCCAGGCAAAATGTCTTGATGAAGGCCCAATTCTTTCAATACCTTTTAATATGTAGAGATCAAAGGTTGCTTGAATAAGTAAGTAATTCCTTGGAGACCAGGTGGCTATTGGAAGATA